TGTGGGAAAAACAAAAACCTGTTTGTGGAGATGCATCTGCCCTGATCATTTATGCTGTAGTGTGAACATCTGCCAGTATCTCCTCTTGGGACTCCTGTGTTTTAGGTCTTGTTTCTGTGTAATAAAAGCTCTTTCCCTTGTAGAAGGACTCTGACTGGTAAGATGATGTACTCATTCAACAAGTATGTCCTGAGAGCTTGTCACGTGGCTAGACCAAGCGCTGCTCTGGGCCCGAGGAGGCCGTGGTGCATGAGGCAGAATGGCAAATGGTTAAGACTCACAGCCAAGCCTTGGTCTGACCCTTCTGGCTGAGTGCCCCTTGTAAGTCAGTTTCCTTCTCTGAGCAATGGGGATAATATATGTGTACATTCTCTTGCAGTTGTAGTGAGGGAGAACATGAATGGCATTCCGAGAACAAAAAGGAGAAAGAATACCATCAAGTCAATTCTGACTCATACCTTATTTATAGAACAGAGTAGAACTTCTCCGTGTGGTTTCTCAAGGCTACAAGTCTTAATAGAAGCAGACTGCCACATCTTTCTCCTGTGGAGCAGCTGGTGAGTTCGGACCGCTGACCTTTCTGTTATCAGTCTAGTACTTTAACCATGGAGTCATCCAGTTTCCTTATTCAAACAACAGGTCCATCGTTACAGGATATGCCAGGAGAAAAAAAGACGAAGCAGACACTATCCTGGCTGTAAAGTTACTCACCGAGCCGTGAGCAGAAAGACAAAAATAAGCAAACCAAAACAGTATCAGAGGGCAGAAAACTGGAATGGGTCCTGGGCTAGAGGGTGAGCAAGAGGCCTTTTAATGAATGTAAAAAGACAAGAAGCTGGACTTTTGGGGGGCAGAGAAAACAGCCAATGCAAAGACCCCGAGCACAAGCCAGATCACAAGTGGTTCTGTCAGGCCCTCAAAGATGTCTGTGTCCAAATCCCAGGAACCTGTGAATCTGTTAAGTTACATGGCAAAGGGGACTTAAGGTTGCAGAGGGAGTTAAGTTGCTAGTTCAATGACTTTAAGACAGTTAGATTATCCTGACTATCCAGGTGGATTAAAAACATTTACTGATGAAGATCAAAGAGCACAGCCTTCGGTATGGATTACGTCTCAATGTAAATAAAACAAAATTCCTCACCACTGGACCAATAAACATCATTCTTATCAACGGAGAAAAGATTGCAGTTGTCAAGGACTTCATTTTTCTTGGATCAACTATCAACACTCATGGAAGCAGCAGTCAAGAGATCAAATGACGTATTGCATTAGGCAAATCTGCTGCACAAGACCTTTTTAAAGTGTTGAAGAGCAAAGATGTCAGCTTGAGGAGTAAGGTGCACCTGACACAAGCTATGGTATTTTCAGTAACCTCATATGCATATGAAAGCTGAACAGTGAATAAGGAAGGCCATAGAAGAATTGACGCTTTTGAGTTATGTGTTGGAGGAGAATATTGAAAGTGCCATGGGCTGACAAAAGAACCAACAGATATGTGTTGGAAGAAGTGCAGCCAGAGTGTTTCTTGGAGGCCAGGATGGCCAAGCTTTGTCTCTCATACTTCGGACATATTGTCAGGGGCACCAGTCACTTGAGAAGGATATCATTTTTGGTGAGGTGGAGGGTCAGAGAAAAGAGGAGGACCCCCAATGAAATGGATTGGCCAAGTGGCAGCATCAGTGGTCTCAAGTATGGCAACAATAGTGAGGTTGGCCCAGGATCAGGCAGTGTTTCATTCTGCTATGCATAAGGTCACAATGGGACGGTACCGACTCGATGGCACCTAACAACAACAATCCAGGTGGGCCTAACGTAATCACAAGAGCCTTTAAAAGTGGAAGAGGGACAGAGTAATGCAATGTGAGGACTCTACTGGCCATTGCTGACTTTGAATTGACTTTGAAGATGGAAGAAGGAAACACAAGGCACGGACTGCTGGTGGCCTATGGAAGCTGGGAAAGGCAAGAAAAAGGGTTCTCCCTTATAGCTTCCAGACACAGCCCTGCTGAGTGCTAGATTTTAGTCCACTGCGGCATGTGTCAGAGTTCTGACCTACAGCACAGTTAGATAAACTGTAAAAATGATTTGTTTATTTTGATGATGCCAAATTTATGTTGATCTGTTATTTCAATAATAGAAAACTAATCCACTCTGTAAACTCCATGGTGAGGCAGGTTGCCTTTATTCTCTTGGGTGGAGTTGGTCAGTGATGCATTCTGCCCTTGTGTCTCAGTGAAACAGAGATTGCAGGGGGATGAGTGAGGAGGCCGGGGAAATGGGTGGGAAGTGAGTATCATGGTCCAGAGAGAGTAATTTCACTCACACCATTGCCTTCCCACCCAGAAACACTTGGCATTTTTTTCATTTAAGAATGCAGAAAAGTCTGAGAAGACATCACACAATTTGTTTAGCTTTCACAACCGTCTCGGTTAGTTGCTCTGAGAATAAGCATTCTGAAGTTCCTTGTGCTCATGCCCTGGCCAAGCACACAGACGTCATTTGATCCCTGTTCAGACTTCATCCCTGCCATCTGCCAGACTGAGGCTCTCTCTTAGAGTCAACCGCAGAAGACCAGGCTTTCTGGTCAAATCCAGATGTCCATTTTTATAAGTCTCATAAATCTTGAGCCATACATGAATGTGCATAGACTGTGTACCACACACTAAGACCACTTAGTGTGCATGGTCTATGTTTGTGTGGTGTGTAGGCCACTGGAGCCTGAGGGCCTTCTGTAAGCTCCTTATCCTGCTGCCCTTGGGCCAAAGATAGAAGGTACAACAATGATTTGAGTCTGGATGGACTAGAAGCCTGTGATGAGTAAGATGGACCCACGTCTATCAGCCTCGTGTCTCTAGCTGTAAAATGGGGACGGTAAGGTCTACCTAATAGGACTGTTGTTAGGTGCTGTCATGTTGATTTCAACTCATAATGACACAGGAGAACTGCCCCATGGGGTTTTCTAGGTTGTAATCTTTTAGGGAGCACAGTCTTTCTCTAATGAAGAGACTGCTGACCTTTCAGTTAGCAGTCCAATGCTTAACCATTGTGCCACCAAGGCTCCTGCTTATAGGGGTTGGTGCTGTTAAGTGCCATCCAGTCAGCTCCAACTCATAGTGACCCTGTATAGGGTTTCTGAGGAGCAACTGGTGGGTTTGATCCAGTGACCTTGAAGTTAGCAGTCCTATAGCTAAACACCAAGACAAGACTTCTTTTCGGGGTGAGGAGGACTGAATTAGGTTTAGATTGTGTTGTTTTCTATGTGTGCACCTGGCACATAGAAAACAGTTTGGCAATACTTGTAGAATAATGAATGAAAGATATAACATATATATTAAATTTTAGCCTTCATTTTTCCCTCTTTATTTTCTAAACTTTCTCTGAGACTTGGATAGAACCCAAATGTAACTAAGCAAAACACACCTCCCATTTATGCAGCAAGGAAATCTCGAGAAGTTGGGAGGTGTTGGGGGAAGCTTTGTGTAGCAGGTAAGCCCCCGCAGGGGATTGCAGCAGGACATGGAGCCACGTGTGTCAGACTGGGTGTCCACCTGGGTGTCCAAATACAGGCTTCTAACGTGGCGGGCGCAGGCAGTGAGGGTGTTGTCCACTTCCCCTGCTCCTGAACTCCCAGGGCTCAGAGCTTCAAAGGAAGCCTCCAGTAACTACCCAAGTGAAAGTCTCTTACTTCTTCCAGAAGCATCCAGTTTCTCTCCTCTATAAGGTGGGTATAGGGTAGAGGTTACTGGGGCGAAGAGAAGCCAAGGGAATTATAGCCCGCCTCTGACTTGTCCTAAAATAAAAATAACTTCTGCAGAAAGCACATGCACGAACTTAACGTGACTCAGACACTGAGGGCTTCAAGCTTTGGCTAGGAGGCATACATCTGGCACATGTGCCTGGAACGATAACAGACTTAAAGGCATCAGCACATCTGGTTTCCCATTAACAAAATGCTGATGTGAAGCTCTGGCTTAGAAGAGACCAGCACAAGAGACAGGGCCCTCCAAAGGCTGTATGTAGGGTTACCTATGGCCACCTGAAGTCCTTGGAGATGGCTGGTGTGTTCCAGAACCATCTGTGCATCCTCCACCTCAACTTGAGAAGTTCATTATTATTCTTTAGTTGAGTCACATCTTTTTCTCCACAAATACGACCGGTAGTGTCCTTTTAGATGGAGTACCCTGCCAACCATTTTAAGAGAGTAAGATAACAGAAACAGTGAATGTTGATCCTTTCTTCCCAGATGGAACAATTTCACTCCATGTCTTTTCTTGGTTTTATTTCACATTAGCTATTAACCCAATGGAGTCCTGTTGTGGCTCTGTAGGATAAGCACTGAACCATTAACCCCAAGGTTGGCAGTTCAAACCCATCAGTTGCTCGTTGGAAACCCTATACAGGGTCACTGTCAGTTGAAACTGACTCAATGGCACGTAACAACAACAGTACCTCAAAGACATAGAAACTGTTTTTCACTGTTTCTTGTAAACGGCATAAGCCAGGCATTGCAGCAAGTTTTGAAAGAACTGAAATGTCTATCATTTGAGGGGATTTCTTTAAGGAACTATTAAACAGGAAGGTTCCTTGAGGGCCTGGAGAGGGGTCTCAGTGCCAGCTTCCTCAGCCTCCAGTGTCGCTTCCTGTGGGAGGCACACTTCCCAGGGAAAGCAGTCCTTGTCTGGATTTGACCTTCACCCTATCATCATTGCCTTGGTGCATGTTCCTGCAGGAATGGGAGGTCAGCTCTGGAAGGAGTGTGTGGAGCCTGTGGAATGCTCATTACAGTGAGCACTTGGGGGCCCCGAGATGGAAGAAACTGCCCAGAGCCAGCCCTCTCTGGTGGCAAGCCCGGGCCTGAGGTGTAGGTGGGTGATGCCAAGGGTCCCGCCTGCTTCCTGTCCCTCGACCTCAAGGCTCTGGCAGTCTCGCCAAGGGCTATGCTTGCAAAGAAGGAAATGTTTTGTTCTGATGCCATGGCTCTTATTGGTTTGGAGAGGGAGATGGCGGTTAGTGTAGGAGGGGCAGGGGACCAACAAATGGAGGGGGGCAAGGAGTCCCTCCCCAGATTTTAAAGAGAACATTGAAAAACAGAAGGGAAATCAAGTTCCAGGGTTCTTGGTGTGGAGCTCAGCTTTGGGACTGAGAAGGATGCCTCAGCGTAGCACTGAGAACAAAGTACTGATGTAGCTCTTGCATCCTATGGCCCAGTGTCTGTAAGGTTATGTTCACACATGTGGGGGTTTAATCTAAAATGAAAAACTCAATGAAAACTGGTCCTTTCTGGTCATGAGATTGTTCTTTGTTTTTATGTGTTTTCTGCATTTTGAATTGTCTTGCAGGGAATTTGCTTTACTTTCTTGATTAAGCAAAATGATCAAGCATTCACGGTTTGAAAGGGGAAGCACTTAGTCTCTCAGCCCCCCCTTCCATGATCATGTTTGTCTCCACACTACAGACCTCTTAAGTACTTGACTTGGTCTGTGAGGACCTCATTGCTCAACTTAGTCAAGGAAATTGGGGTCTTCCTGTGCAGATATCCGACTGTAGGCGGCAGATTCTGAGCGTGGATCTGGGGATTGGTGTCTGGCACTCTGGGGTCAAGGATTTGGCACTGTGGGGTCTGTAATCAGTAGCTACAGAATGGATCCATCAAACCTGCTGCTGCAAGTCACTCCTCTGGTGCCCCTGACTGTCTGGCCCTCACATTGGCATGCTGACTTGCTAAGAGCTCCAAGGGGCTTCCTTGAACTACACGGTGCCTTGTTATCACCACCCCCAGAGAGGTACATAGGTACAGACCAGAGCTTCCTGACCTCCCTCAACAAGTCATGCCCACAACCCTTCCGTGCCTCCTTGCTGGGACTGCAGGGTTTTAGTTTTCTTGGTCTTGAAGAATCTCTCCTAGTTGCCACTGGTGAGATGAGCATGTCTCACTCTTATGAGGAAGGAAGCAGCTGCTGCCTGTTGTCCATGGAGAGCAGGTGCTGCGAAGGCTCTTCTGGGAAGATCACTGTGCTAGGAGCCGGAGTTAGAGACACTTGGTTGGCCAGTAGCAACGTGGAAAACAGGCACCTTTTCCTGCACATAGCCTCCTCTTCCTTCTGTATTTATTGGCACCCCTGTGCCACCAGCCCAGGTTCCCATCAGCGTGCTCGCCCCTTCCCAGAAGAGCCCTTGGCACTGATGTCCTCTTCTCTCCACTTCAAAACTTAGTCCGCGTCCCACAAGGCAGCTGCAGCCCAGCCATCACTCTTGCAGCTGTCATGGCCCTGACTGGCTTGTAGAAAAGGGAGGCAGCTGCCTGCTTGGCTCCATGTGGTCACTTCCTACCACCACCACCCTGCCCACCTCCACGCTCAAACTTCCGAAGTTTGCACAGGGATTACAAAGTCACTCTTGTGGTATACTTTAGTTGGGTCTTAGGAGCCCATGTGCGAGTCCTGGTGTGGCGCTGCGGGCTCATGAGCTAGATTGCAAAGTCGGTTCCAACAGCAAAGTGGGTGTTCAATCTCACCACTTGCTCCTTGGAAACCCTATACAGGGTCACTATGAGTCAGAACCAACTCAATGACATTTAACAACAACAGGAGCCCATGTGGCATAGTGGGTTATGTTGTTGGTTGTTGGTGGTGTGTCATGGAGTTGGTTCCGACTCATCATGACCCTGCACAGGATTGCTGAGCCTGTAAATCTTTATGGGAGCAGAAAGCCTCATCTTTCTCCTGAGGAACAGCTGGTAGTTTTGAACTGCTGACCTCAAGGTTAGCAGCCTGACTCATAACCACTACCCTACCACATCTCCTTAGTGGATTGTATGTTGGGCTGCTAATCTCAATGTCAGCAGTTCAAGCCCCACCAGTCAGTCTGTGGAAGAAAGATGAGGCTTTCTGCTTCAGTAAAGATTGGGGTCACTGTGAATTGGAACGGACTCAGTGGCACTCAACAGCAACAACAGTGTGAGTTAGTGAGATCATTAACCACACAGGGTTGTGACAAGAGACAGGACGTATGACAGCCCATTAGGCAACAAAACAACCTAGGGTGAATAAGGGCTGGGCCGGGAGCCAGCTGGGTTTCCAGTCCAACTCTACAACTCCTAACAACACAATTTGGGGCAAGTCATTTGACTTTCAGCCCCCGTATCTCCATCTATGAGATGGAGACAATTGTTAGTTGTGTGGGCCCTGTCTTCTTTGCTGGATTGCAGTGGCTGAAAACGCTTGTAAATTATTAAATGCTTCACAAATATAAATTACAGGTAATCAGGAACCCATATAAAGTAGCTTCTTTTTTTGTTGTTTGTTTTAAAGGAGGAGGATTTGGGTGTGGAAAATCAATCGTGGTGGATGGCTGCTAGGTGTTTTGTAGGGTAACTTGTGGTAAGTTCCTACCTGGGTATCTAGAGCTTGCATAGGAAGGGCCACATGGTGAAGGAGGAAAGAAAACAAACAAAACGTTCTTCTCAACAAATGTGTGGGCCAGACCCAGTCAGGCCCGGTTAGGGTAGGGGCTAAGGAGTCCCCATGAATCAACGAGTTCCATGGAGGACTTGGTGTGGCTCTGTAGCACTGAACTGATTGATAACCACAAGGTTGGTTGTTCAAACCCACTAGTCACTCCTTGGAAACCCTATACAGGGTCTCTATGAGTTACAACCTATACCGGGTTGCTATGGGTTGTTAACAACAAGGGGCAACTTGGGCATTCACCTTTGTCAAAAGCATCCATTGAATCAGACCAGTCATCTTCTGGGTGCCAGTCCAGGGTGCAGGGCTGGGAGGATGGCAAGGGCTCTGTTTGCATAGTGGCCAAACTCGACTGACAAGGCTGGAAGCCACTCACATGCAGCCTACCTGCCCAGCTGCCCCTCTGGCTTTTACAGTGAAATACAGTGAAACCTATGAAAATCGGGAGTCACCAAATCTCTGCATCTCCCGGGTTTCCCACCTTTGCCAGGATACAGACGTCTGACTCCTTACCTGTGGCTCATTTCAGTGGAAAACATTTGCACTTTCCTTCTCTAACAGGTTTTACTGTATTTTTTATTATAAAGTTAATGTAGAAAAAATTAAGTAAAAAATGAAATAAAAAATGATTTACAAGCCTGTCCCTGTAACTAACCACCGTTATCTTCTCTCTTTTTGCAGGTAATATTTGTCTGGGTAGACTTGGTGCTGTTATGTAACACATACGCCCTCCCCCCACCCCATAAAATAAAAACTTGCTCAGAGGAAGTGAAAATGGTTTTCATTCTCCTAGCACCAAGGTTCAGTCCTTTCCTGGTGATAGTGGTGGTGGTGGTGGTGGTGTGCCACCAAGACAGTTCTGTCTCATAGCGACCCTGTGGTATAGGACTTTCGAAATTGTAAAGTCTTATCTTTCTCCTGCAGAGCAATTGGTAGACTCGAACTGCTGCCCTTGTAGTTAGCAGCCCCACTGGGAATCCACTACACTATCTCCTCCTTTAAAAAACCAGTAGAATCTGCTCCTACATGTGCCAGAGTAGAATTCTGCTTTATAGGACATCCAGTGGCAAATATTTTGGAAATAAATCTCCAGTTCCTGGAAATAAATTTGGAAATAAATCTCCTTGTTGTTGAGGTGCTCTGGATGGGCGTGAACGTCCAACCTTGAGGTTAACAGTCCTGCATGTTAACCATTTGCACCCCCAAACGACTCCATTTCCTCCTTTTTAATTCCTTGACTCCAACAAACAGTTGAAATTGGAAACCTTAAGATTTTCTTCATGAAGTGTGATGTTGCGTTTTGATTTAAGTTTTCATTTTTTAATGACTTTTTAAAAACAATCAGAGCTAGTTGTTGAATTTCATTGAATGACTTATTAGTAGCTCTATGGAGGTAGTTTTGATTCCCCTGTTACATTTTTTTGGAGTATAGAACTCATTAGATATTCCTGTTTTGCCAGTTTTGTTATCATTCTTTAAAAAACACCCAAGAAAAAGAAAGAAAAAGCTCACCAAGGTCCTGGTTTAAGGATATAGATTTTTAAGAATTAGAGAAAGTGTTTTGTAATGTACTGATTGTTTCGATCCAAAGGCATGTGAGCTCTAAATAATTATCCATTGCCTCAGTCAAGCAGAATAATCAGTTCTGCCCTTCTCCCTGAACATGGGGATTTGTTTTTCTTGAAGATGAGCTGGAGCTATGATTTGGTGACCTGACTCAGAAGATGTCCTGTCTTACTAGAGCCCAGGGCAGGGAAGGATGCCTCGTGAGGGCTTGTCTACATTGCACTTGAGTCCAATCCAGTTGCCATTGTGTCGACCCCGACTCATGGCCACCCATGTGTGTCAGAATAGAACCATTTCATAGGGATTTCAGTGGCTGTTTATTTTTTTTCTTCTGAGCCTCCTCTGTGTGCGTTTGAACTGCCGACCTTTCAATTAGTGGCTGAGTGCTTAACTGTTTGTATCACCCAGCCCCCCCCCCCCAATGTGAGCAGCTAAGGTGGGTTGGGCCTTGTTGGTGAATGAACCTGTGGCGATCCTTTTTCTCCCTAGAACTGCCTCAATAAACAGCAGCTCCTCACAGCCATCCGCCAGCTACAGCAGCTGCTGAAAGGCCAGGAGACTCGCTTTGCTGAGGGCATCCGCAACATGAAGAGCCGGCTGGCTGCGCTGCAGAACTCAGTGAACAGAGCGGCCCCAGATGCTCCCCCAGGTGGGTCCCCAAATCAGCAGCCACAGGTGCCCCAGGACACTCAGGTTTTCCCTACATCCCACCCAATCCTGGCAGGCCCCTGAGCTGTGACCCATCTTTGGACCATGATTAGGGAGAGGGAGAGGGGTGTGCGTTGAAAACGAGCCTGACTGCTCCCCTCTCCATCAGTCTGAATGTTGTGCCATCTTCTTCCATACCTTTGCATTCTGGTTGTAACAATGATCATGTCCACATAACCTTTATAAAATCGTCAGAAGGCACCAGTTTCAGAGCATGAGCCGCTTTCCCCTTCCCCAGTCCCACTCAGGTCCACGCCAGTTAGTTCATGTTTTACAGACATGAGAGTAAGTCCCCTATTATTACCAGTGGGGGTGGAGGGGAAGGGTGCCGTGGACAAGTTCCACTTGTCTGGTGAGGTTACAGTGGGCTCCTCAGACTTGCCCTGAGGGTAGAGCGCCAGCAGACACTGGGGTGCTATTTCCTGGTCCTCTCACTGATGGCTGGCCTTCCCTCTGCCACGGGCCAGTCTCTCCTCAGGTAGTAATGGTGGGGCGTGGTGGCCGTCATGGTTATTCTGTGGTAGTCCTGAGCCTGTGGAGGCCATTCATTCCCTTCAGACACCTTTGTCATCCTTGTGTGAGATAGCGGTGGGTATTGAATTTCCTACCTCTTTAGAGATTATGGTACCAAGTCCACAGTCTCAACAGCCAGGGGTCAACTTCTGTTTTCCTTAACTCCACTGGAGTGTGGTGGTTCTGTAGGGTAAACACTGGATTTCAAGCCACAAGGTTGGCAGTTCAAGCCCACTCTCTGCTCCATGGGAGAAGGATGAAACTTTTTGCTCCCACAAAGATTAAAAAATCTTTTTTAAAAGCTTCGGAAACCCTATACTGGGTTACTATGAGTCAGAACCAACTCGACAACACTTAATAACAACACTGTATCTTCCAAGGGGCTGTGAGGCACAAGCTCTCAGGGGTCTCATCACACTCAATCCCATGAGGCTAGGCAGGGGATCCTTCCTTCCTGCTGAGCATGGGGAAACTGAGGCTAAGACACATGATCTAACAGTAGGAGGTCCCTGACTTAGTGATGTTTCTGCTAGAAGGTCATTACACAGAGCCTTCCTGTTGTCTCGAATCAGTGCTGCCTACAGACCCTAGGGGTTTCACAGAAAATCTGCCTATGTTAGGATCCAAACAAACCAAACCTGCTGCCATCGATCCCAACCCAGAGTGACCCTATGGGACAGGGCAGAACTGTCTCTCAGGGTCTCCAAGGCTACCACATCATTCTCCCATGGAATGGCTACTGGATTTGAATCACTGACCTTTTGGTTAGCATCACGTACCTAACAGCTGTGCCACCAAGACTTATGTTAGTGTTGTTGTTGGTAAGTGCCGTTGAGTCAGTTTTGACTCATAATGACCCTATATAGGTTTCCCAAGGCGGTAGATCTTTGCAGGAGCAAAAAGCCTCATCATTCTCCTGAGGAGCAGCTGGTGGGCTCGAACCAGTGACCTGTGATCCACAGAACATTGCTTATTTTACAGAGCTCCCCATGATAGGAGGATTGTTGTTAAGTGCCATTGAGTCAATTCGGACTCATAGGGAACCTACAATCAGCACTGAACGATGAAACACCAGGTTGGCAGTTCAAACCCACCAACCGCTCCTCAGAAACCCTACACAGGGTCACTATGAGTTGGAACCAACTTGACAGCACTTAACAATAACAACATAGGCTTTCCAAGGAGTGGCTGGTCGGTTTGAACAATCAGTCTTGCGGTTAGCAATACAATGCTTATTCTACAGCACCACACCATGATTCCAATAGGAGGGTTGTTGTTGTTAAGTGCCATCTAGTTGATTCCGACTCATAGCGATCCTGTATAGAGTTTCTGAGGAACAGCTTGTGGGTGTCAATCGCCAACCTTGTGGTTCACAGTCCAGTGTTATTGTTGTTAGGTGACATCGAGTCAGTACCGACTTATAACAACAGAATGAAACCATGCCCGATCCTGCGCCAACCTCACAATTGCTGCTACCACTGTGCCAATCCATCTTGTTGGGGTCCTTCCTCTTTTTCTCCGACCTTCCACTTTGCCAAGCATGATGTCCTTTTCCAGGGACTGGTCACTCTTGATTATATGCCTGAAGTATGAGAGTCATAGTCTGGCCATCCTGGCTTGTAAGGAACATTCTGGCTGTACTTCTTCCAACCCAGATCTGTTTGTTCTTTTGGCAGTCCATGGTACTTTTAATATTCTCCTCCAACACCATAACTCAAATGCATCAATTCTTCTGTGGTCTTCTTTATTTATGGTCCAACTTTCATATGCCTATGAGGTTATTGAAAATACCATGGCTTGGGTCAGGCGCACCTTAGTCCTCACACTGACATCCGATGCTTTAGCTTTTGCTAAATCATAAATCCAGATTCAGGATTTTCCATTCCTGAACAGTGCTAGATTTAAAAATCTGCGAATTCCACCATATGTTATGGCTCTCCTGTGAAGACTTTGGTGGTTCAGTGGTGGAATTCTCCATACAGGAGACCTGGGTTTGATTCCTGGCCAGTCTATCTAATGTGCAGCTGCCATCTGTCTGTCTGTTGCTATGTCTGTGTTGATACTGAATAGGTTTCAACAGAGCTTCCACACAAGACTGACTAGGAAGAGAAGACTGGCAATCTATTTCCTAAAACCATCCGGTCAAAAACGGTCTGATCCCCAATTGATCTTGGGCTGGGAAAGGGGCTGCCGTGAGTTGGGAGTCCTCCTTAACAGCAGTTGGCAACAACTGTGTGTCTTCCAAGTGTTGGGCACCGCACTGGGAACTGCTTGTGACCCCCCTACAGCTGTCACAATCTCCATTGCAGGGAGGGAGGCTGGAAACTTACCCCAGGGCAAACTGCAAACAGTGGAACAATGATCTTTTTTCTTTCTTTCTTGAAGGGCATATGCTATGAGTCAGGAAGGAGAGTTTCTAGTCATGGGAACTAGTTGGTATTCCTCTTTCTGGCTTCTATGCACAGTATCTCCTTCCTGTCTTTCTTTCCTGGGAGAGTCACAAACGATTGGCTTCAGGGCTTATCCAGGGAAGCTTCATCCTAGTCACATCCCCAAGTTGCCAAGCTTAGTTAACAGTTCATATCATTTCTTACTCATTAACCTCATTTTAGAAGGTGCAGGAAGCTTTGCTGGGGCTCTCATAGATCCACAAGGATGGACAGATGCCTTTGACTTCTATTTGGGAGGTAACTGCAAATTGATTTGTTTATTAATTTCTATCCAGACTAACATTTATTGAGCACCTTCCTAAGTACTATTTTATCTGTGAGCTGCTCCAACGGGAGCCCTGTACTTTTTTATGTTTTGAGGTTAAAGATTTCTTATTTCTAAAGAGGCCTTACCCCTCTCCCTGCAAAGCACTTTAAATCATTACCACTGTGTCCCAAGTTTGAGTTTTACTAAATGAAAGTGATGCTGTCATGCATGGTCAATAATTCCAAGTGACCAAGGGCTACTGAGAAGGAACTCTGGAAGCGTAGTGGTTACGAGCCAAGCTTCGAACCTTAAGGTCAGCAGTTCAAAACTACCAGCAGTTCCGCGGGAGAAAGATGAGGCATTCTGCTCCCATAAAGATTTACAGCCTCGGAAACCCTGTGCAGGATCACTATGAGTCAGAACCAGCTACGTGGTATTCAACAACAACAAAGGCCTACTGAGAGGCCTTGGAGGGGCTGATTCTTCCCCTTCTCCCCAGGCTGTCATGGCTGCTTCCTGAAGACCCTGGGCTGTGTCTAAGCAGAAGGCCTGTTGTGCTTTTCTTGGGGCCTCAGGTCTAGACGTCTCCGATAGACATGTTACCAGATGTTTTCTTCTTGGTGGAAACTGAGTGATTCTCTATCGCTGACTTCATCCTACACTGCTGAAGCAATCACTGTGGTTTCCTCTGTATAAAATCCTAATGTAATAGCTACAAATGAAACTTGGAAGTTAACTATAATGTGATTTAGTAGTAGCTCTGACTTTCCAACTACACTAAATCCAAACTCAACCTATCCCAACTTTGGACATTCAGTCTTTAAACAGTGTTAACTGTGCACTGACCATGTGTTCAATACTGCTGCAGATAAAAGAAGAATGGATAACCGAGATTCTCTTCTTTCCAAACCATATCAGTCAATCAGGAAATCCTGTTTGTGCTTCTTCAGAATACCTGCAGAATTCGAACCTTCTCTTTCTACTCCCTGTTCATCCTGGTTTGAGTTGTCTTTATCCTGCCCCTGGGGTCTGTTTTCTTCCCTTTCTCACACCAACACTTTATACTCAAGCCCCAGCTAGAGTGCTGCTGCTAACTTCTGTGCTGGGCTGGGTCAGCCACACTGGGGGTCCCAGCTTGGATCCTCACACACCCCAAGGCCCTGTGCACAGCACGCAATGACCCTGAGCCCTGCGGGATCTCCTCAGCTTTCACTAGATGGGAATCCAGTGGCGATCCCCAAAAGTTCTTTGAAGATTCAGTGAGATATAGCATTTCCAATGTCCAGCACAGTGTGCAGCCTGGGATAAGCACTCAACAGAGGGAAACTTATGATTGAGTGCAGTATCTAAATTGTCCAGGAGCAGAGACGCCTCATTCTGCTTTTTCTCCTTACAGTTTCCTGCCCTTCTCTGAGCGCCCCTCTGGATGGCAGGAAGTTTGGCAACAAGCACTTAGTGGATCACGAAGTTCATTTTACCTGCAACCCTGGGTTCCGACTGGTTGGACCCAGCAGTGTCGTGTGTTTGCCCAATGGCACCTGGACTGGGGAACAGCCCCACTGCAAAGGTACCATCCCTCCCTCTCATCCTAAATAGGTCAGATTCATCGCATACCAGCAGGGTCCGGTAGACAGAAAGGGTCATTCTTTGGGATACTTTTTGCCTGATTTCTCAAATATTCTTCAACCATAGAACAGTGGCTGATGTATTTGCTCAGTGACCTCTGTGCCAGGCCTTGCGTGGGCACTGTCTGCATGAGCTGGCTAAGCCTTCACAACCATTTGGTCTTGGTTTTTGTATGAGGCCACACAGTTATGAGGAGCTGAGCTGGGAATCACACCAGGACACTCTGACCTTGAGTCTATATCTTCAGCACCTCACACTTGTGACTGGGTCTGATAAAACTCTGTGGGTTGGGGAAAGGAATCTGAGTGAGGTGCTCCAGGGAAATGCTCCTCCTAGCTGCTCTGCACTGGGGCTGCAGCTTGGCTGGGAGGCTGTAAGTGCCCTCTGGGGTTGAGGAAATTGCTCTGGTGTCCCTTGTGTCTGCAGTGAGCCTTGAAGTAGATGGGCTTCAGGAGAGACCACTGGGAATGATGTCCGGTCTGAGCCTGAGATTTCTACAGTGCCACACCAAGACTGTATATGTATCTTATCATCGTTAAGTGTCGTCGAGTCAGTTATGACTCATAGCAATCCTGTATAGGGTTTCCAAGGAGCTGCTGGTGAGTTTGAACCACCGACCTTGTGGTTCAAACCAACCTTTCGATCCAGTGCTTTATCCCACAGCACCACATTGGGACTCCATAGATAGATAGATAGATAGATAGATAGATAGATAGATAGATAGATAGATAGATAGATAGACATATGAACAGAAACTTATTATTGTCTCACAGTTCTGGAATCTGAGTGTGGGCAGGGCCATGTTAACTCAAAAGGTTTTAGGGGAAAGATGCTTATCTTTTCTGGTATCTGGTAGACCTAGACATTCCTTGGCTTGCAGCTACAGCATCAGCCCTTCCATTTCCCCTCTTTTATAGGATACCACTCAGGTGGGATTAGGACTCACTGACCTCATGTTAACATCAATAGAGCCTCATGTTTAATGATAACATCTCTAAAGAACTATTCCCAAACAAGGTCACATGGGACTTCATTCTCTCTTTGGGGAGCCAATTCAATCCATTTAGACACCTGAATGATACATTGGCATGGTTTCCTTCTTGTTTTGATCCAAATCTGCATTGGCACTATAATTAGACTCCCATACCACAACACCAAAGGACTGCTTGGAGCAGCTCACTCAAAACTGCCAGTAGTACCACATTTAACATCTAAAACCTGGGCAGGGAACAAGGAGGCTGCCGGTTCACGAGGAAATTTTAGGTGGATGGTTTTTTACTTCTTTAAGTGTAAATTGGGCATGAAGTTCACACAGTGGTAGTGACTGAACAAGAATGTCACATTCAAGATGCCCAACCAACTGTTGTATATGACCTCTCACCACGATAGCAGACTATGCCTACCTTAGCCCTCTGCTCTCAGCAAGAGTCTGTCTTCAGTAAGAGCCACAAAGTTGTGCCAGCCAAATCTGCCAAGAGGGAGAAATCAGGCTTTGCTGGCCAATTATGACAGGATTAGTGAGGTGGGAAGGGCATAGGCTGGAATTTCCACAACTCAGTGTCCCCCGCTCTCCTCCAAGTCTGGTCCTAGAATTTTAGCAGCATCCTGTGAGGACATCCATTTCATTTTCTGTATCAGCAGCCTGGGCATCACTGGTGTGTAGTGACTATGGTGGGGACAGGGGGATAATTACAGGGGAGTCATTTCAAGACTCAAAATGTCAGTGTCAATGAAAACCTGGGTAGCACTTCAGGAACTGGCCTCCACCCCATCCCCAGTCAATGGCTCTGGAAAAAGGTGATGAACCCAACTTGGCACAGTAGGAAATTACTCACAATGACTTGATTAAACGGGTCCTCAGGCAGAGGTAGGCTCCAGCCCTCCAGAATGGAAAGCAGCCATTTAGCTTCCTGGATTTGTTTCCTTCTTTGTCTGAAGGGTATGTTTTTAAGCTGTGAAGCATTTGAATCAGCTAAGCCATGGCCACAGGTCTTGTCCCTTTAAGAAGATGAGTAACTAAAGAAAAAAATTTGAGAGAAATACCTCTGGCCCTTACGTCTTTGGTGGTCATCCCCATTTTCCTCTTTAAAACAAAACAAAGTAGTTCATTCATCCGTTCAATTTTCATCAAGTACCTTCATGCCAAGTGTTGGGGAGTCAATGTGAAATCTAAGAGGCACTGCCCAACCTAGTGGGAGGCAAAGCAAAACAAGTGACTGAGCACAAGTGTAAATGAACAGATGTTTGTTGTACGTATTTTGAGGGAGTCTGCATGAATAATTTCTTTTGTATAAAACAACACAAGGCTGGCCCCTAGGAGATGGAGGTTAAAGATATTCCAACTCTTCCACGTTTCTGACATGTTACGCCCCTCCATAGTCCTTGATATCAATCACTGCTCCTCCCTTCCCTCAAGTCCCAGGATTCTGCAACACTATGTAATGTCTCACAAAAATCACAGTTGTCAAAAGCAATGGCTCACACAATTGTGGAGGCTGGTGAGTCCCAGTTCCGTAGTTCAGAGATCAGTCTGGAGGAATCTTGTCACTTCTGTAGTCTCGGCAGCTGAGCAACACCAGTTGCCAGGTCACACTACAGGCTCCTCCATAGAATCCTGTTGATGGGGAAAGCTGTGGGAGCTGGTGAGTCAGGTCAGGTGATTGGTAAAAAGTCCCATAAATTTGAGGTCGGACATAATGAGCCAGATGCAAGATGCAGGGCAAGAGAACAAGGTTTTCCAAAGCAATCTTATAAACTGGAGTCAGACCATGTCCCAAGGGAAACTAAGGGTGGTGACGAGTCACACCCTCTACTAAGGTGGGGGCATTCTTAATACTTGTTGTTGTGTTGTTAAAGTGCTGTTGGGTTGGCTCTAACTCATAGCGACCCTGTATAGGGTTTGAACCACCAACATTGCTATTCAAACCAACCTCGAGATTGAGTGCTTATCCTGTGGCACCACACCAGGACTTAAAGCCACTGTAATCTTTATTCCTTGTTGTTGTCGTTAAGTGCCATCAAGTCAGTTCTGACTCATAGCGACCCTGTGTAAGGGTTTCCAAGAAGCAGCTTGTAAGTTTGAGCTGCTGACCTTGTGTTTCAAACCGACCATGCAGTCTAGCGCATTAACCTGCAGTGCCTCACCTTAATCTTTACGCCTTAGCAACTCATTTCAAAATGGGTCCATAATGACAGGCATAGAGGCTAGGATATACAACACATCACAGAATGGAGAAATTTGACTGCCCTGCAGAGTCAAACAACAGACTGTGAGAGTAAACAACAACAACAAAATCTGTAACCCTGAGGGCCTCTCTGAGGAGGTGCCATTGGCACTGAGACAGAAAGGATGAGAAGGAGCCTGCCATATGCAGAGTGGCTGTAGGGCCATGGAGAAGACACCTTTCTATAAAGTGGGAGTTGCATATGCAGACTTGAGGAAACTGAGAATTTGGCATGTTTGAGAAATTGAAAAAATAAACTACAGAACCTTGTAGTTGGCGCTTTGTGTCAACTGAGCATGCACAGGACAAGGCAGAGACAGACAGGCCAGCTGTGCAGACATGAGACTGTGGCTCTGTGGTCAGTACACTAGTTTAAGATGAGGAGGACTGTGATGAGATTTGTGCAGCGAATACATTGGAGGGGATGAGGATGGGAGCTGGGAAAGCAGTTACATGGCTGTTGGAGAAGTCCAGAGGAGGTATAATGGCAATGCCCTCAGGTATATTTCAGTCCCAGGTCTATGTAGAGACAGAGAGGATGGCTCTCAGTGCCACAGCCTGTGTGGCTTGTAAGGAAGGATAGCCAAAGCAGATTCTTAGACTTGGGTTTACAGGAGTGAATGAGTGCTGTCATGTCCACATAGGATGAAGGCTGAGCAACAGATGTGTTTTTGTGTGTGTGTTTGTGTGTGTGTATATACACGTCCAGAACTGCAGTGTCAGTGGTTCAAGCTCACCAGCTGCTCCTTGGAAACCTTATACAGGGTTGCAATCGACTCAACAGCACTAAACAACAACAACAACATAGGTTGAGGGGTTTGGGGAGGAAGAGAGGTTCCAGTGATCAGAATTCCAGTTGTTTGTTGCTAAGTGTTGTCAAGTCGGTTCTGAATCATAGTGACCCTGTATAGCATTTCCAAAGAGCGGCTGGTGAGCTTGAACAGTCAATCTTGTGGTTCAAACCAACTTTGCAGTCCAGTGCATTAATCCGCAGCACCACACCAGGACTCCTAGGACATGTTAAGTTAAAATGTGCCACCTTCTAGTGGAGACCCATGAATTCAACTTATGGAGGGCGGTGTCAGGTAGACAGCTGGGTATAAAATCTGGAGCTCAAGAGAGAAGGAAGGAGGGGTGGAGATACACATTCAGGAGTTATTCGCATAGAGATAGCATTCTATCCATACACAGTAATGAGATGAGCAGGTAGAGAGAAGAGACTCATGACTGAAACACGAGGAGCCTTCGCATTAAAAGGGCGATTGGAGGGGGTAGAGGGATGCACAGACAGAGGAAGAGTTTAAATGTAAGTGAACAAGGCTGCTGAAGAGCCCAGTGAGTGAGGTTTCACTAAGCATTAGGAAGGTTGTCTTGCAGTGAAAAGGGAGCAAGCAGCGTTCTCACCAGCTGCAAATCATTTCACCTTCTGAATCACAGGCCTTCTATCAGAGGGAAGGGCATGAAGAGAAAGAGCTGTCGGGTTGTCGGATTACCAAGTGATTGAATGGATAAATGAATGAGGGAATATGTATTATTTTTTAAAAGCCTATTTCAGTGATTCTGAATTGGTGTGCAGAGTTAAAAGCAAGTCGGCAGGACAAGAGAATGTCTCACAATCCTAAATTTTTTCTCTGAATTAAAAACTGATATGTGTGTGGCACTGGAGGATAATGCGCTGAACTATGAGGTCAGTTTGAACTACAAGGTCGGCAGTTCA